AGGACAGCTTTGACTTCCTGTGTTACCCACGGTTTGTTATTAGGATAACACCGTACCGTCTTAGCAGGGGCGACTGTGTCCACACAAAAGTTGAGGTAGTCTGTAAGACAGTGTGTCGCCCCCTCTATGTCCTCACCATGTGGGCTCAGGAGCACATCCCAATGACTTGGTCTATAATATGTGATATATATGAATGATATCAGGTCATCTTGAGCCACAAACAACATTATTAAGTGGCCTATTTACTGATATAAGTAAAGACTTACATAATAAACACAAAATCACTGCCCTAGAACAGCTGGAACAGGCTCCAGCCCCTGAATTGGATACACAGAAGAGTGGATGGATAGTACTGCATCTAGCTGTTGAAACAGTGGCTCAACAGCTTCAGTCATATGCATGTAGTGCTTAAAAGTTTGGACTTCCCATAACACTACTTTCAGTCCTGTAAGTCAGTGTTTGAACAGTTGCTACTCAACTGTGTACTGCCCTCTAGTGGCCTGATGTGTGTATTACATACAGAGTGACATCCCAGTAGGGTTTCTCATGCTGTGTGTGGTGTTTTTCAGTCCCAACTCCATCCATTGAGGAAGATCATGTAACAAGGTTAAAAGCTGAAGAGCTGTCAGACTTCCGTTAATGGACTCTCCCCCCCAATCAGTGCAAGTGTATAATAAAACAAAGACATTGTAATTTATTGGTACTTTTCATTTTTTAATTTGTCATTTTAACCACATAAAACACTTAAGCAGACACACATTAGAGTATAAAACTGATTAAATTAAGGTGAATCGTTTACAGGCAATAAGAACATCTTCCTGCATAGCATTACTGTCATTTAAAGAGAGGCTGATCTAAAATAAAATGCTTAACTGTCATGTTTTTGGTTGTTTTGTGTAGTTCTATTCAGCTGTGAAGGTGCAGTAGATTCCCCAGTGATCACTAGTGTAGCGGCCACAGTCCAGCTTCTCCAGCCCCACCAAGGCCATGTGATCAGGGGCCAGACGTGGGACTCCATCCTCGGTAGCCGAGCGGAAGTAGATTCTGTCAAAGCGGCAGCGACTGACATACGGAACAGTTTTGTTGTTGTTGGCTTTAGTATCCCACGTGTAGCGGCAGTGCTCCTGCTTGCCCAGTCGCTCCCACACATCACAGACAGTTGCAGGCAGGCCCACTTTGGTCACCTGAGACGGGTCCAGAGAAAAGAATTACTGTGATTACTTGTTATAAGTTTACTGGCTGTATGTGAGTGGAAGGAGCAGCGTCCGACCTCCGCATCCCTCAGGTTTGTGTCTCCCCCAAACACAACGGTGACATCATCAGGTGCCTCTGACATCCTCTGCTTCACCACATGCAGCTGTTTCATCCGCTCTGCAGCATGTCCCTTACAGCTCTCAAAGTGGGATGTCATCAGGCACAGCTTCTGGCTGTTGACGATCACCTGATTTTTGGAAAGGAAAATG